AATAATAAATTAAGTGTTTGTAACATTAAAATAATTAGTTAACTCAATACAGTAAAATATTAACAGTCAGAAATAGGAAATTCAGGCCAAGCATATTTAGAAATTACTGGAAGTTGCGCAAAATTGTATGCGCGCAAATTCGTCGCGGCAGGACTCTGGGAGTGGGTGATGGCGGAGAGTGGGGGTGAGCGCTGGAGGCAGCGCCCGGACTCCGAGCGCTCATTCTTCCTCGAGCCGGTCTCCTATACTGGTCTCTTGGAATCATTACTCTTATTCATTTTCAACATTCTTCTCTTTCTATATTTATTTCTTCTTTACATTCATATTTCTTTAGCTGTCATTCTTTACTTTTTGATTGATCTCTTTCTTTATTTCTTTTTTACTTTTATATTCCTTACTTTTCTACTTCTTAACTTCTTCATTTCTATCCGATCGATGGCTAACGGGACCCGCCGCCGGCGGCGGGCGTGGTTCCTTACGTCTAACCCACTGAGCTTGCTCGGTGGGAAGGGACGGAGGTTGTAGCGTTAAATATCGTCCTTCGGGATGTCCTGGCGTGCCCGCAAGGGCACTGCCGGGTGCTACGTCCGCGGTCTTTCGTTGCGGTGAATCTTGACTAGGGGTAGACCTTTTGCGTTTAACTTATCTTAGCTTTTTCGCGTTTAACTTCACCTTACCCCCTTGTGCGTTTTTCTTGTCCTTCGACCCGACTTCCTTTCCTTCCTGAGGTCTTTCCCCCCTAGTCCTGTGCGCGAAAGCCGCAGGACTCGGGGGTTTTCCTCAACAAAAAAAAAACACGGTCCCCTAAGGGGCCTCGGAGGGGTCGTAGCTCCCTTGTGGAGAGGCAGGACCTCACGGAAATGGGCGAGGAGGGGCCCATTTCTCTCCCTTATACTTCCTACTTCCTCGTGCACACGTTTGACGCATCTTCTTCTCCCCTTGATCCCTCAGTCATAAGCATCACTCTTCTTTATTCTTTCTTTTTAACAATGTTCCTCTTTTCCTCTTCAACAACATCTTCCCTGTCTGCTGCCGCCAAACGTTTCTACCTAAGTTTCGAATCTCCTATTCCTTCCTATGTCTCCATCACTCTCCTCGTAGTATATCCTTAAAAACTAAGTTTTTAAAATGACTTTTGGAAAAGGAAAAGTCCAAAGTGGTAGCGCATGTAACATACGACACGTATATTATATTGCAGTGATATATGTAAAATATATTTCTAATGGCATTGTTATTACTAATCTTTTGCGGGCTATATATGTATTGTACATCTGTGCTTTGTATATTGTATCATTATTGCGTTTGTCCAACAAACTATCTTTTAACACTTATACACGCTGATATTATTTTGCCCTATGCGAATATCCCAGAGTACTAATGAGTTCTGCTCTCTCTTACTCTCCTCCATCCTAACTGCATCCTTCACCTACTCCTGATGTAGTTTGAAATTCAATTCTCGAAATTGCACCTCTGGGAGGCTGTATCTCGAAAACGGCTGGCTTTAGGGCTTTTTCCTTGAAATTTTGAAAGATCTCTGAACGCAGAAAGTCAGAATGGTCCATAGAAGAGGCTGGTATAGGTTAGATTGCGATAGGGCAACTTTCAAAAAATTGCTTTACTTTTTGGTACTCGCACACTTTTTTTTGAATTTTGAAATTATCAAGCATTCATAGTAAAGAATTTCCATTAGTTCGAATTTTCGCCCATAAGAGGGCAGCACCTCCCGAGCATGTGTGGCGACCAACGAGGCAGCAGCCAATCGGATTCAAGGACTCCCGCAGCGGTGGCGCCCTCCGGATCAGGCCCTTCGAGAACCTTCCAGTCGTCTCGAGTCGTCTCGAATCTAGAGTACCAACATGTCGCCTTTCGGTAAAACGTTAAATAATTAAGAAAGATAGTGTGTGTTTTGTATTCTCTCCTGCAATACTTACTTACCTGCCTCGCCGGCCACAAATTGGTGACCCCGACGTGATTGTGGAAGTTACCACTGAAGCTGAATTACCTGAAAAAGATAAGACGCATTTAAGATGGCCGAAGACGCGCAAAATCCAGAGCTACAACAACACGCTGCACCACAAAGAGAAGGAGATGTACAACAGGAGATCCTGGCTTGCCGAGCCTCTAGACCGCCTCCTTTCAACGTAAATAATGTTAGGGCATGGCTAGCACTCATGGAAATGGAATTTGAGGAAGATCGGATCACCAGCGATCGAACCAAGTTTAGGCGCATAGCGCTGGCACTAGACGCACGAGTGGTGGAACAAGTCTCAGACCTGATAACCGATCCTCCAGAGAACGACAGATATTCGATTTTGAAGAACCGACTACTTGCTGTTTTTGGTGAATCCGAACGTGGTAGATGGCATAAACTTCAAGAACTAGAATTAGGAGATCAGAAACCGTCAATGCTTCTGAACTCCATGAGGCGACTCGCAGAAGGCCAGCTTGGAAATGGTGCTCTGCAGAATATGTTTCTGGATAAAATGCCAGAACACATTAGAATCCTCCTGTCCGCTGAACCAGATACAAAGTTGGATAAACTCGCACCTCGAGCGGATCACATCATGGATGCTGCAAGACCGCAGGTAGCACTCATCTCAACGGAGACCACTTTTAAGGAACACATTGAAGCTTTCAACAGAGGACCGCCACGCAAGGGCAGGACACAAAATAATTGGCAACCAGCACCTACAAATAAAGGCAAGTGCAATGACCGTTCAGGTTATGTCTGCTTCTATCACCGTAGGTTTGGATACAAAGCCCGCAACTGTGAGGGCAACTGCGCTTTCAAACAAAGACAGCCAGTCGCAATAGGAGCATTAAGTGATGGTTCTACATCCAATCGTCTCACCATCAGTGACAAGATCAATCGGTTATGCTTCCTTGTCGACACTGGAGCAGAAATCTCAGTCCTGCCAAAAAAGTACTGCAAGGGATTCAGCAAAGAAACAAACTACAAGCTGCGTGCGGCTAACGGCACACCTATCAAGACGTTTGGCACCAGAGTTCTGACCCTTGAGCTAGGACTACAGAAACCTTACCATTGGGAGTTCTGCGTGGCTTATGTGGAGCAACCCAGCATCGGGGCAGATTTTCTAAAAAACCACAACCTTACAGTTGACCTCAATAACCGACGCCTGATGAACATGGTCTCACTTCACCAAGCAACTGGGAAAGTAGCTCAACAATCTACACACATAGCTGCTATTCGCAAAAACAATCAAATACATCGACTCTTGGCTCAGTCTCCAGAGATTACAACTCCAAGGAAAGCGGATGTCCGAGGCAAGCAACAAGTCGTACAGCACATTGCAACGATGGATCCATCCGTGGCTCAACGACACCGGAGGCTGGATCCCGAGAAATTGAAAGTAACAAAGGACGAATCCAACCTCATAACGGAACAGGGTATCTGTCGTCCATCAAAAGACCACTATGCAAGTCCCCTTCACATGGATGTCGCAGAGGAGCAACACAGGAAGAAAACCGTGTGTCAGAACACGTCTCACCCTAACGGCAAAGCAACGAGCCGGCTCGTGAGACAGCGATTTGTTTGGCCTAGCATTAAGAGGGACATTCTAGCTCGGACGAGAACATGCCTGCCTTGCCACCGAATTAAGACGACACCACCTCCAGTAGAATGACCAGCCAATCCACGTACTCACCTAAAGAAAAAAATCGCGCCGTCCCAAGGTACGTCGCTCGACGGGGAGCAGTGTGGCGACCATCGAGGCAGCAGCCAATCGGATTTAAGGACTCCCGCAGCAGTGGCGCCCTCCGGTATAGGCCTATTGGGGATCCGCTACGTTAAATAATGGGAACGCATCGACTGCGGCACCTCTTGGGTGACGTGGAAGCCCGCAGGTTGTCGTTGTTTATGCCTTTATTGCGCTACGTTAAATAATGGCGCAGCAGTGGCGCCCTCCGGTATAGGCCTATTGGGGATCCGCTACGTTAAATAATGGGAACGCATCGACTGCGGCACCTCTTGGGTGACGTGGAAGCCCGCAGGTTGTCGTTGTTTATGCCTTTATTGTAATAAGATAAATAAATTAATTAGATATACTCCATAGAGGGGTCTCGAACCATAGACCTCCCGATTCGTAACCGGGTGCATTAGCCAGATGCCAAAAACACGTATATGTTTTACTTGTTTCGGAAGTTGTATTTCTAGAATTTGATCGTTTATTCAACTGCTTACTATTGTCGTTTCGCTTACTTTACATGTAAGCAGAATAATATAAAGATGCACACCAGTTAAGAAATTTCGCGCCACCCTTCTCCACGTGGATGAACAATTATAGACAGAGATAATGCTCATTTCCATATTTGCTTCTTAAGATTAATGATTCCAGGTAATGAAGTGAGCTAATCATTATTTTCTCATAGTAAATCTTATTGAGTTTACACTGGGCGCTGGAACTGAAGATTGCAAATAAAAAAGTATTTATAAGATTGTAAGAACCAGCGGCAGCAGTAACAGCAATAGGAGACCCCTCAGCGAGAGAGGATCACGAAAGGCGATGATCACGAAATCCTACTCCCGGACTCGCCGCTACGATTTAGCGCCATGCTTTTGTTGTCGCCTAAAACCGGAGCGTTGTACATCTCCCCACTCATCTCTGAGAGTACATTTACACGCACGGGTTTTAAAAAGGATTGAATCACGTTGGGTTTTTCTTCTTAACAGAGACAATCTCTCTTTGAAACAAAAACCAAAATCTATTAAATTCGTCCAAACTAAAAATCATAAACGAAGAATGACGAATGAATAACCCGAAACCGAAAACTGAAATTCAAGCTTTCATCATCGTGAACACCGTAACCAAACCCATATTTCTTTTGGTTGCAGTCTCTGTGGAAAATCAATTTTCGTTAGCAATACCTTCAAACAGTCGATAATCCGCCGTCATGTAACAGAACTTCTGAGGTGTGTCAATGGCGGAGGATGTCAGGAGCGCCAATTATGACGAATAAATAATCCCAGAATGACGCGCTGGTACTTGTGATAATAAAAATTTTATTTACAAATGCGACAAGTGTAGGAATTTGGATCTAGTGATTTTTCGGAGGGAAACCGCGCTCAACTGTCGTCCCGATCAAAGGTATAATGGGGGAGCATTACGTCCCGCAGTATCGCGCACGACACATATATAATCATTTAATAAATTCTAGCGGCACGCGGAGCATCCATTTCCAAAAAACCACGTATACAAGAAAAATCACTGATGTAACAATTAATCTTTACATTAAATATGATTAAGAGTCTAGCTATTAAGGGCTATGCGGGGGTACAGTAATAGAAATATTTATTTCTCAAGGAGTGAAAGAGAAGTCTCACCGGATTGGTTAGTGAAGACTTGCTAGGCGGGAACGTGGGAAAGGCTGGGAGAGGGGAGAAGAGGAGGGATTCAAGGTAAAAGGATAAAAGCCACTGGATCGAGTGCGCTGGGAAAGGGGGATACTTGAATTATTATTATTATTTTTCTTTAAATTTCAAAGGATAACATCACAGCATTGACATATCAACATCGAAACAACTGCGAGCATCGCACTCTTCGAGCGTCGTGAAACATTATCAACGATACATCCAAAAATAAATCTTAGATAACCCAGTAGCTGAGGATGCATCCTGGTATACGCGTTATCGATACCGGTAGATGAACATCGAAGCACAATTAGTGATTGAATAATCCAAAAAAAAAAGAGAAAATTGTAAAAAATTATTCCGTCAAATAAAACAACGACGACGATTCGTCACGAGAAACCGTAGACGTGACGGATGTGACACTGAAAAGTGGGCCTTATAGTCGAAGAGTGCGCTCTCGCCGTCATAGCACTTTTCATTTTGCTATAGATCAATTTACAACATCTCATTAATTAATCGTCTCAATTCCATTTTCGACTTGAATAAGTGTAAATCGCCACTTACTCCTCTCTCTTCCGCGCTCACTGTCGTATTCTCCCTCCCTTGACACAGTCACACATTTTTTTTTAAATTCTCTGTACTCGTTCACGCAATCACACATGACGCACTCGCGGTAATTAATTAGTCGTTACAATTATCCAATAACAATAATAATCCTGACGATGTTACATCGTCAACGTAATTCATTGATAATGTGATCGATGCAAATTATTCGGCAACCATATACTGTTTTTTCTTTTTTTTTTTTTTTCATTATTGTAATCGGTTTGTATTACGTGTGCAGTGTAATCCGATATGTTGATTAATTAGCTTAATGTAAAACGTGAAGTTGCGTTTTTGGTGTTGGTGTGATATATTGCAGAAAAAAGTGATCATTTCAAGGATAAAGTTTGCAGAAAAAAGTGAAAAAAAACGGAGTAATTAAGAACAAATCAAAAATTTCAAAATTAGGTATTAACGCACGCGTTCAGTTCTTCACGTCTCGCATAGATGGCGCGAGGATCGCGCGGCTTGTCACGATCACCGTTATACGTAAAAAGAAAAAGAAAAAATCAAGTCTACCCAAAAAACTTCGTATGTTCCCAATTTGGACTTTCAGCGTTTTTTTTTTCACACGGCAGTTCAAATGTTAAATACCTGCCACTATTTTTTTCGCGAGTCTATTTTCATTTCATTCTCTCCGACATTTTCCCTCCCCCTACCCCCGCCCGTCACTCTGACGATAGTCATGCACAATCTTATTTTATATTCTCTAAATTTCTTCGCAATACCAAAGCGACGCTAGATTTTCGCAGCACTTACGAAGCTCGTCCTATTTGTTATTTAATTTTCTAACAAACTCCCTTAACTCGCACGTAGCATCCCAAACGTCAAATTTCTCTGTTCACTTTCACCCACTTTCATTTCTCCTTTACCACTCTCTCAATTGATCTGTCACATTGTCGATACTGTTCTAATATAGTGACGATCGCGAAAACGAAAAGGCGGACTTTCAGTATAGGACTCGTCTTTTCTTCTTCATATATGCGTTTTACTTTGGATAGTCCGAGCTAGATGTCACTACTGCAGGCTGACATGAGTATTTTCATCGTTACCGACAGAGAGAATAGATCGTAGCTACCCTTAAAATTAATCGAAGTAAGCATCCTTTACCTATTTCTCATAATTTTTGCATTTTTAATGTCGCTACGCCTTTACGAATTACGTTACTATTATTTCTTTTCATTTCGTCTCCTATTTATCCTCCTGACCTTTCTTTCCATTGCCCATATACACATTAAGTCACGAACCAGTGTACCCTGTCTCTGTGGTACGTGCGTGTCAGTGTTTGATTGTGTAATTTAGAGTGGCTGCTTAATTCTTAGAAACTCTTACAAAATTTTACAAAAAATCTCACGCGCATTTTCGCCCAGTCAAATTAACGTCCCTTCCGATCAATACAAATTGCGAGCACGTACGATTCTTCGCAAGTAGTACAAATAAACCATGCAACACAATAAACGCTACGAAAAAAATCGAAAAAAGATTCATCGCCTCGCGCAACGTCACTTTGATCTTGAACCGTTTTTTTCTTCCCGCCATTATTTGAATCCTCTGGTCATCGGAACAGACGTTACAATGACGCACGACATAAAGCGTTCGAACAGCATCGAGCCTGAGCATCGTAAATCGACGTACAATGATTATGACGTAGTGTTCACTGTTGCCTTTAAAGGGGATCGATTAAATCGCGCGTCAACGTTCAATCATCATTCCGTATATCGGAGGATCCGGTATTCAAAATATCAACAAAAAAAATCATTAAAAAGTCTGACAATACCCGAATGAGGAACAAAATTTTTTTAAAAATAAACAGTAAGTAACAAGGACGAAGACGACTCCTGGATACGGAAATGACGTCATATTGTATACTAGAAGAGAAGCTCGGCGTACGCCTTCTTCGCGATTGCTAACCACTTCCGGTTTCCTGTATCCATCATTTTTTCGTTTCTTTCTAAATCGATTTCACTCTGTTGACTTCCACTTATCCATCATAATTTTCAGTAAGCTAAACACGTGTCGCCGTCCAATTTCCAACTTGGACCTCGATTTAAAGCTTGTATCACACATTTGGGACTTAGTAAGTATCGATTATTAATACAATGGTAAATGATTCGCGTAGTTCTCGTAATAATACATCCGCGGCACTCGGGGACCGGGTACGGTCCCAACCTAAATACAAGGTCGATTATTATATACAAACGTACAGTACATACACGCTCTTAATAATTTACCGTCATATTCCCTGCGTCGTAGATAAGAAAAATTTTATTCTAATTATCCACCAGAATATTTTTCTCCAGCGCCACTTTTCTTTCTTTCTTTTTTTCTATCACTATTCGTTTATATACCACCTTGGCTCTCGCTTTGTTCGTAAGATTTTCAAAAGATTTATCTCTGCGCAGTTTCCTTATATACGTATGTCTCTAAATAGGAAATGGGCCTCGTGCCGGCGAATCGTAGACTGTGAACTTGAAACAATGGAGAATAATGGATAAATAGTATTTTTTTTTTTTTTTCGTTCGTAGCCCGAGGCACAGATCCTTCAAATTGTCTACTTGCCGCTTAAACTATAAATGGAATTTTTCGTATCATCATGGGAAACCTTTACGGACGACAAAAACCCACAGTGTGAACTCGGCTTGTCGCGTCAATTATATGTAACGTGTGTACGTATGTACGTATGTAAAAGCCTAGAGGCATCGCGCGCGAACACGGTCAGGAAAAAGGCGCATCCTTTCGTAACGACTTAATTACCAATAGCATCTATCGATTATCGTGTGACTATGGGTAAGTGAGTCACTACTGAATTTCATCGATTTCAAATCGATACAAATTGAATCGCTCGTAATCAATGACAATTGTTATCTACGCGTTATATCGTTTTACCGCAAATAATGCCGTTTATCTATTACACGTTAGTCTTTATAGTTAGTCGATTTATGTATAAGATTACTAATAACAAATAATTACAAGTTTGACCCTCGCGATACGGCTATTACAACAAAGTATAATGATCTACGAATTCCTAATCGTTCAAATTAAAAAATTGAAATTTCAAAACTTATAGGCCAAAAAGATCTCTCAAATACCAAAATACTAGAGACTTTAATACTGATAGATATCAGTGCACTGAATCGATCATTGATAACACGAAAGAATAGAATTTTCAAATTTCGAAAATTCAAGTAAACACAAAACAAACACGTAGCAGCCGTCACAATAGACTTTTTTTTTCTCGTAGATAAGTTACTTCAAGGTTTCTTACAATATGTACAGTACCCCACTATCGGATCGTAATATCTCTATATAAATTTACTTTAATCTGTTATTACGCAAGTAGGTGGTAGGTATTGTGTTCACCATGTGTGAATATATATCTGTATAATATATATATATAATATATATATATATACTCTAATAAAATTTATAAATATAGCAGCCTCATGTATAACCTTCGACGCGTAATCCAAAATCGTTATCTTTAATAATCGCCTCGTTTACATTAAATATATCCTTCGATCTCTTGTACACGTTACGATATCCGTTCACTCGTGGTATTGTTATTAAAATAATAGAGAGATTTAATTATTACTTCAATTGTTGTTCGCGCGAATAATAGATACACCTACAATGATTACCCATTATATCTCTGATCTCCCTAAACCCAGAATCGCGACAGCTCGACCGCCATATATTGTGACAAAACCCGCCCCGAAAAAGAAGAATGTCTCATCGACTCATTGATCTCAACAATGATCAATAAGATCACGCACACAGCATATATCGTTCGACAAGATCAAGTTCTCGCATTTGCGTAGCGTTCTCCACCGATAAGGAAATTCGGATGTGAATTATTTGTGATTGATGAGGTGGGGGGAAGATGGAGAGGGGGGGTGCAGTTGGCGGTGACAAAAAATGGGGCCTGATAGGAATCAGCCTTTTTTTTTTTAAAAAAAAAGGAGAGAAAAAATGAAAAAGAACAATTAAATATCAAGGCCCCAGGGCTCTTTGTACACGTGTCCCGTACAGTTCACAGCCTGTACAAGTTCGTGCTGATTCCGCGATGGGAAGGGGTTTTCCTGCGTTTTGCTTCTGTTCTCCTAAGGGTTGGATAGGATAAGGGCCTCGAATCTTAATGCAGTAACTTCGCGCCTAACCAATCGCAACCCCAAAGACGCGCGCTCTATAATTCGTTCAGGCACAGCGGGTTGCTCCTCAGAAGTTGGCGCGTTTGCCGAGAGAGATCGCTAGCGTGGCATAGTTCTCTGGCCTAGCAACTAGAGGGCGGTGGTGCGCAGGTGGGGACAGCGCTGTAGCGACAGGCCCCGGGGCCCCGGCTCCTAAATAGCGTTCAGAGCTCGAGAGTCTTGTGGCTGACGGCGTCGGGACGCAGTGCTGCTGTATTCGTATGATTCCTCTTCTGTTCCATAATCGTGCTCGCCTCGATCGCCTCGATCCCGATCCAACCTCTCCAGTCTGGATCGTCTTGTACCACCTCCAATATGGCTGCCGCTGTAAGAAGCTGATCCTATTTTTTTTTTAAGAAAAGAAAAAACAATCATGAGTAACTGTTACGAGAAATTACGTGGTATCGATTTGACGTACAATAATAATAATAATGACAATCTTAGAGAAATCTTCAAATTTTATTATCTTCAATCGCCTAATCGATACCGTATCTTGTTCTTATTGGTAACACATATTTACAAATTCTCGAGAAAGAATTCACGCCGTGTAAATGACTAAATTTCTATACATTCATTAACCCTTACAGCACCATTTTTTGACGATATCTTGTAAATTTCAAACATTTCACATAATAACTTATGTGAAAATATTGAGCCAATTTAAAGATAATATATTATCGTCCGGCACTCTATGGGTTAATAAATATTTTATAATATATATTTTTTACATACAAATGGCGCAAATTCTTTCTTTATCATAAATGCCATATAACAAAATGTACACAAAAAACATTCCGGGGACTACACTATTAAAAAAAGATGGCGTCAAAAAAGCGAATGATTAGGGGGGGAACGATTAGCTTAGGCGTTTTTCATAAATTCTCGACCATGGGACTGTCGGTTAAAAAAGCTAAACGAAAAAAGACGCATCCGCTAGAGGTGCTAGTAGTCGGTTGCTCGAGCGCCTAAACGAAATTGAGCAGACGACAAAAAACCGACGAAATGACACTAAGCGCCGTTTGCGGCGATGTCATTTAGCGTATCGTATTATTGTATTAGAAAAGTACTGACTATGAGTGACAGTCGCCTGGTCTCGACACACGATTAGATAACGTGACCAATGCAGATACACACGCGCACACATAAACTCACACGCGCAACAGCAAAATAAAGTCGTGCAAAAGTAACGGCGAGAACAAAACGAAAATTCGCATTTTCGCGAGAGACTCGTAAAAGACAAGGACAGTAGACAACGATAGACGAGAATAAAGATATAAAGAGAAGACGAGACAGCAAAATCACGAAATATACATATACACATTACTATAAGTTATAGAGAATAAAGACAAACAAAATTTCGAAAAATTCGAATGAGATAATAATATAAGATTGAATTACGAAGTGTACGAGATACTGAGATGTTACCTCGTTCGATTAAAAAAAAATGAGTACCGACTCGCTATGATCTGTCATTGTTGCGATCAGACGCTGCTTCTGCCATCTGTGAGAATACACGTTTTCTTGAATGGTACGTAAAACTTTATCCGTGATTGTGAATACTGCTTTTTTCGCTAACCGTAGATTAATCGTATATAAGAAAGCCCAAGCGACATGATAAAAAATCTCACATTAAAGGAAAGTATCATAAAATACATATATCGTCAATCGAAAAAAATGGTGTTAGAAAATATTTTGAAAAATCTTCAGATTACATATTCGATATTACCAATTTACAAAATGCTTCCAATCTCTATAATAATAAAAAAAAAAAAAAAAAAAAAAAAAAAAAAAAAAAAAAAAAAAACAGGAGAGCCAAGCAAAGTGAGCGTGCATGAAAACACGATAGACGCAAATGCGAGATATTACAAAATAGTGATTAACGATTTGCTTTCAACGTAAACGTTCGATTCTATTCAACAATTGATCAGCAGTATTTGAATCTACCGACCCGCCATCTCTCGAGAACCTATCGAATCGTTATGTCAACGCTTCACTCTCTAACGTTAAACTATTCTAATTCCTATCTATGTCAGAAATATCGTTCAAGGACTAGCATATAGACAAAAATCGGGGGGGGGGGGGG